TGCAAACTGTCAAAGAGTTTGTGAAGACCTCTTACGAAAGCGGGATTGCAAAATATTGGGGAATCGAGAATCAGATGATGGAAATGCAGCAAAAACTCAGCAGGTTACAAGATGAATTTAATGTTGAAACCGTCGTTGAGGATGCAGAGGCTCGGACTTTGATGGCTCAAACGGCATTGAAATCGTGTGAAGAAACTTTGATTCATTTGCATGAGAAACAAGAAAGATATCTCCAAGAAGCGAGAGAAGAATACAAGAAGATTGAAGATGCCAGTCGTCTATTGAAGTCCCTCAGGCCCGAACATCTTAGTGATGAAACTGATAAAAAAGCACCAACTGAGAGCTCGACTAAAGAAGTGGACGATGGGATACAAGAGAAGCACAAAGTTGAGGAAATACCGGAGAAAAAAGACCCTGAAGATGGCTCCTCGGAATCTCTCACTTTGATGAAATTGACCGAGAAAATTGATGAACTTGTTGAAAAGGTGGTCAGCTTAGAAACTGGAATGTCATCTCAGACTGTTCTTATCAATAGATTAAGAACAGAAGCTGATGATCTCCTTGCACAGATTCGGGATTTGGTAAACGAAAAGGAGACTCTAATTAATGGAACCCATAATACGGGTAGCAAGTTGAAAGAATTAGAGGGAAAATTGCACATGCTTCAGGAGCTAAACAAAAATGCGGAAGATCAAAACAACAATCTCCATATGAACTTTGCTGAAGCTCGTTCAAGTCTTGATCACTTGTCTGAAAAACTGACTAGTGTGAAGCCAGATGAAGCACGGGAGGATACTGATTCATTGCAAGACAATAAGGAACCTGCTGTTAAAGTCGAGTTGCGAGACGCTCCAAATCCTGATGAACTTGATAAAAACCTTAGTGCTTCAAGAACAGAATTTGGAGAGCAAGTGAAAGATGGGGATATGATGGATCAGGGTCAGGAGGCATCTGATAATATTAGACAAACTGAAGGTGAAAAGGTGACTAAAAAAACTGTCACGTTTTTGGACTCGAAAGCAGAGGAAGTTTCTGAAGAACATTCAAGGCAAAGAGAGAATGAGCTTCTCAACAATAAGTCGCAGGGAGATGAAGAGAAAAAAGAAGAGCTAAACTGGCAGCTGATACTCTTGAATGGACTAGAGGACAGAGAGAAGATTATGCTAACAGAATACACTGCGATTCTTAGGAATTATAAAGATTTAAAGCGTAAACTTAGTGACAAGGAGAAGCAAGACAAAGATGTACAATTTGAGACCACAGTGCAAATGAGAGGCATGAAGATTGCTATTGCAAAAAGGGATGCAGAAATTCGTCAATTACGCCAAAAATTGAACCTTCGTCAATCAAAATTGGGTGAAAATAATGATTCTGAATTGAATGGTGATGCCAATCTTCCCTTCACTAACGAAGAAGGTAAAATCAAGTTCGTCTTCATTGATAAAGATCCTGCTATTTCAGTTGTTGAGGAAAAGCTCCAGAGGGATATTGATGCAATATTAGATGGAAACTTGGACTTCTGGTTAAGATTTAGCACTGCCTCTCAGCAAATCAAGAACTTCAAGACTGAGGTCCAAGATTTACAGGACAAAGTGGCAAAACTTGATGAGAAAAAGAAACAAGAAGGAAGCATTAAACCGGACCTAAAACCAGAGAGCCGACTAATATACAAGCACCTGAGAGAGATACAGAAAAAACTAACAGCATGGGTGGAGCAAAACGTGTCCATAAAAAATGAACTAAACTGCAGATTTGAATCTTTATGTCATGTTGAGAAAGAAATCAGAAAGGCTTTCGAGGGTTCTGAAGATGACGAAATTATATTAAGTAGTTATCGAGCTGCAAAGTTTCAAGGTGAGATTTTGAATATGATACAAGAATATAAGAAGATTGAGAAAGAACTTCAAGCAGGTTTTGATGATGTGGCTGCATGCCAACTTGAAAGTGAAACCACACTACAGAAGTTGAACAATGAATTTGGTATTTCTGGTTATCAACAACAGTCGAGGCATTCCATGAACCGGCCCCGAGTTCCATTACAAGTATTTATCTTTGGAACTAAACCAAAAAAATACAGGCATTCATTCTTCTCTTGTACAAGGCCTAACAGAAAATTCCAGGCCCTGAGAGGAGGTAAACATTGATTATTATTGTTTTTCCTGTTATTGTTCATAATGACCTGTCTTAATTTTGTTTTTGAAGTTCATATGAGAACTAACTATTAATAGAGGTTTTCCTATATTCATTTTGGATTTTTGAAGCAGAAAGTGTTGTGTTATGAACAGCCAGATTATTCAATAATCAAGTTAATTGTTCTACTGTTGCTAAGAACTCGACTTGGGTGCGTTAATTTTTCAATATTGCTCCCCCTACATATGGATCAAGGCTTCGAAACCCCTCTTTTGTAATCAAAGTATCATTGATGAAGGGACGACTGCTCAATGGAGCAAAGCCCCTAACGAATGCAAAACCTACTTCAGTATCAATATTTTCAGTTAGTGAAAAATTCTTTGAATGAAAAATATTTAACAGATTCAACCAAACATCATAATTCTGAGAAAGCACGTTGGATATGATAATAAATTCAAAGAAAATGTCTCTGTGTTCAAATTGATGGAGCATAAATGCTGTCTTTACATGTCCACCAACATTACCACTACAACAGACAAGCTTGGAACAAGAGCAACTTTATTCATAAAGAACACTTCGACACTGAAGCCATGACAACATGGAAATTTGAAGAACCAAGTCTCAAGGACAAAGGCTAAAAGTTACTTGAAATTAGCTGGCTTGTGCCTCTTCCGAAGAAGTTGGGCATCCTAGCTCATAAGAACAAGTGTATTTTCATTTACTTGAATATCCACTTCGGCGTCTCTATTTCTCAATAAGTGAAAACCTCTTTCAGTGAAAAATATTTCACAGATTCAACAAAACATAAATAGTCTGAGAACTCGCTTTACCATATGATAATTATTTTTCGAGGAAAGTGTTATATTATTCAAATAAATGGAGCACAAGTTTATCGTTTGGAAAGTTTGTTTCTTGGTGTTGAGAATTCAATCAAATAATTAAAGAACGAGAAAACATGGACAATATAAAAATGATTGATCACACAACAAACTAAATTTTGTGTAAAAAGATGAGAATTTATTTTATCAAGAAACTAAAATTGTCTTTACAAGATTTAATTCCCTCAATTTGAATCTACACAATTCTCTCAAGTTTTTAATTTAGACAACAATGATATAATTGTTATCTTGAGCCTTTTGAAGAGCCTACACTTCGTGGAGTATTTATAGGAACCAAATCTTGAAGTTATGGATGAAGTAAAGCACAAGAATCGGGATCAAAATCAACTAGGAGACCTTTTCCTCCCGTCCAGGTGGTGCTGAGGTGCTACCCACACCGTCGGCGCCAGCCTTCTACTTCTCCATTGTGTTCCCAGTGCCTAGGCGTCCCGTCTCTGTCCCAAGTGTCTGAAACACCTTTCATCCATTCCAAAGTCTTTTTTCCAATCAAACTCTTAATCCCTGATGAAATTTGATCCCTTATCAATCCGAACTTCTAAACTAAAATTATCTAGGCTTCCTCCATGAATCAAACTTCCAATTCACATGAAATTTAAGTCACAAGCATAACAAATTCCACCTTCACACAAATTCTATAGCGAGGAATAAAGTCTTCACCCTTCAAGTCATTCTCCAACTCTTCCACCATGCCCCTTCCCAACATACTCCGCAACTGTAAACTAAATCTAAGTTTTGCTGGTAGCTTTGCTAACTAGCATAACTACCTTATGCACCAACCTTGCTTGAGTCATCATGTTCACTTCCATCTCCAGTCGAGTCACCAAAACTACTCGAATCACCACCAGCATTCCCAACACCACTTGAGTTGTCAAACCTACTCAAATCACCACGAGCAACA